CCCCGTTTTTCCAGTTATTAGTATAAATGGGAAAAACTATTTTTCTTAGTGGCCAAATCCTTCCTTATAGGAAGTGTTGGTCTTTGAATTCAGTGAGGGGAGAGGCCATGTCTTTTTACTGCGATATTCCCAAAGCCCAGCACAGGCCCCGACATGGAGAAGGACTTCAGTGCAGAACCAGGAAAGGAGGGGAAGGGAGGGAGGGAGCGAGAGGAAAGGAAGGAAGGAGGGAGCACAGGAGAGAGGGAGAGAAGTAAGGAGGAAGCAGGAAGGGGGAGAGGAAGGAAGGAAAGAAGGAAGAGAGAGGAGGAGAAATGGGTAACTTCAGCAGGATTTTCCCTCTCCTTTTACTTGGGATTTGTTTTTCTTGAATTTTCAAGCATCCAGCTCGATAGAAAACCAATCATATCTTTTCTTAAGGCTTCCCGTCTGGAGCAAGAGAAGATATCCAGGGGAGTGAGCTTGGCCTCCAGAAAGAACCCACCAACAAAGCTCAGTGGGGACCCAATAAAGGTGGCAGGAGTGAGAGGAGCTCATGCAGGGACCTTTCTTCGACAGTTTTTTCCAACAACATTCAGGGCTATGACTGGCCACTCCAGTGGGTGGCACACATGCATCAAGCTAGAGACCCATCCAAATTCAAGGAGGCAGCGTCTACTAGGGAGAAGGTACATTGATTAAACACCTCAATTTGAGAGAGGGTATGACAGCAGGAAAAGGGGTCAGAGAGCAAGCTGAGAGTACCAAGGAAGGGAGAGATTGCTTCTGCTGGGGGGGGGGGGGGGGGGGGGGGGAGATGGTTCAAAGAAGGCTTGGTGTTGGAGTGACACCTGAACTGGCCCTGGAGGGGCAGGATCTGGGTACAAGAGACCAGCTCTGGCCCTTGCCAATTTTGCTCAGTGGTTCGAGCATCAGCCCAGAGACTGAAAGGTTGGGGGTTCAATACCAGTCAAGGGCACGTACCTCTACCTCGGTTGCAGGCTCATCCCCACCCCAGTCAGGGCATTTTGGGGGCATGTGTGGGAGGCAACCTAATCGATGTGTCTCTTTCACATCGGTATTTCTCTCTCTGTCTCTTCTTCCTCCCTTCCACTCTCTCTAAAAAAAAAAAAAAAAAAAAAAAAAAAAAAAAAAACAGGGAAAAAAATATCCTCAGGGGAGAATTACAGCAGCAACAAAAAGAGACCAGCTCAGGCTGGGAGGTGGGTTGGGGACAGGCATGAATCTCACGGTATCTCCACAAAGTGCCTCATGGGATGTAGTCTATGAACACATACTTGGGAAATGCAGACTTGAGCACGCGGCACAAGCCTTGTCAGAGACTTTACTATGCAACTAGGGCTGAAGCGACAAAATATTCAATCCCTAAATCAGGAAGGATGGCTTTAGCGGGGATCCCCAACACCTTCACTTACATGCTTGTACTAACTTGAGCAAAATATTTAGCTTTTATGAATTCATTTCCTCTTCTCTAATATGGAAGAAATGACATCCCTGCTTCATGTGGTTGTCATGAGAAGCAAATGCTACATAAGAAGTGATGAGTTCAGTGCTGGCCCTTAGCTCATGCTCATTGTAATGACTGCTGCCGCCACTGCTGCTCTTTCTATCAGCAGCTGCATCAGTGTGCATCGTGAACACAAAACAGGATGCAACATGCAGCATTTCTTCACCAGCTCCATCAACCTTCCAGCAGCTAGTTTTTGGAAATGCCAGGCCAGCAGGTAGGGCTCAGCCTAGCACACAGTAGGTGCTCACTCCAAACTCATGGAGGGAATGGGGCCAAAAAAAGACCCTAGGAAGAGCAAATCCCTGGGCAAGATGGTTTTCATTACTTCCTTGGGCAGCAGGCCTCTGAGGTCCGGGAGGAGTGACTTCATCTTTTGCTGGAAGAATGAGGGATTGAGAGCGCAGGGCTCAGCTTTGGGGAAGCATCACAGAGAGTTTATTTTGGTAGAAGTGTTTGAAGTGACTCTGTAACAATGAGCTCATGCCTGCTGCCAGGTGCCAGCCGTCAGCCGGAGCCTGCTCGCCAGGGGATGCGCCAGGCCCATCAGACACGTGCACTGCGGATCCCATAAGACTGGCTCCAGGGACAGCCCCTTCCTCTCCGAGAGGGGATACTGAGGCACAAACAGGAAGCAGCTGGCCCAGCACCCAGAGCACACTGCGGGCTGAGAGAGCCCTGGAGAGGCCTGAGCCTTCTGGTTTTACTTGCTTGATTCTCTGACAGGATTTTGAACGGATTCCCAAAGGATACTTTTTCATCTTCTTCTTCTTTACTTTTCTTTTTTTTTGTCAAGTGCTGCATACATTTATCTAGATAACTTCATTGTCATAAGCCGCAACCTAGTCTCACAAGGAGTTCCTAGAAATGAGCACATGTCACACACACCCTCCCCCGAGCACAGGCAGGAGCCGTTCAGCCTCTCGGGTTTCCCCCTCGCTGTGCGGAAGGGGTGGCTGGACCGCGGTGCAGTTTCCGCAGTGAGAACCTATGCAGGGTGAGAATATGACATTTGCATTTTACCACGCCCGATACTTAATAGCTGTCCACCCGAATCGAAGCATGAGAGTCCACATAGAATTTGAAAAGGAAATGAGGCCATTTACAAAAGTGGTTGGAGGGGAGACTTTCCCATGGAGCCCACTGCACACAGAAAAGATCCGGGAGGTAGTGAAGTTTTCAAACTTCAGATTGGGCGAGAGGGAGGTACCAGGCAGACTACAAATTTCCACGGTAAGAGAGATCAGACTTTAGTTTTTAAATATGTGATGAATGTATACACACACACACACACACACACACACACACACACACACACACAAACATCTCTGTATGTATGCACACACAAATATATGGATGGATCTCAGTTGTGAGCCATGTAGAGAAAGCACATGGGGCAGCGATGCTGTATTCACCCTTTGTTACGCTTCGTTTTATTTTAACTGGTAAACCTGGAAGTGGTTGGAAGGAAAGCATAGCCAACCCTGGAAACTTGTCAAAGCTCAAAAATGCTTCCAAGACTCCACAGACTTTTTGGTTTCCAGGAGAGTGGGGCTGGCCAGGTTCTCCCTCCACTAAAAATAAAACTAGAGGCTGTTTACAAGGGTTGTACCTTTTCTCCAGCATGTGCATTTGGGTCAGGAGGTTAAATGATATCGAGATTATCTGAATCTTGATTCTTCCACTACACAGTCACCCAATGGGGACTGGCTGAACCCTTCACCAAACCCACTCGGCACACCTGGCCCCTGGTCCGGAGAATCCCCGTAACCTACAAATCACTCGGGCTCTAACCCTGCATCCTGTCTTCTGAGAGTCAGAGTCCATTCCCCACGAAATAGGAAAGAGCTAAACACCGTGAAGCACAGTTGCTGGAGGAAAAAAGGAAAGCAACCACAGCAGAACTCCTATGGACACATCTCCAGGCCCAGGCAGGGAGCCTAATCTGTTACAGCGAAAGGGGTCCCTGGTCTCCAGGGCCTCAATATCAACAGGTGCAGACTAGAGTAGCGAAGGGAAGGCAAAGGAGAAAGAAAACTAAAAAGACAGGCGAGAAGGAGAGCGTAGAGCTTCGTTACAGGAGCGGATCCAAACTTGGAGGCAAGGTTTGGATAGCACGTGGCCAAGCCCCTCCTTCCCCACCACAGCGTGATGTCTGTTTCTGCACAGAGAGGCAGAGAGGAACCCCACAGTCATCGGGTTTCTGGTGACAGCCGCTCTGCAGGGCTGTGCTTCTAGTCTCTGTTTAGATCTCTGTGTGGGGGACTATGGAGACCCGGGTTCCTTCAGTGTGACTTTGTCCGAGGCAGTTTCTGGGGCCCACCCCATGTGGCATGTGGGAATAGCAGAGGAGGGGGTTCATTTGCAAGGATTGCAGGGCACAGGGCACAGGGGTTGGAAGCAGGCAACAGGACAAGACTGGTACGTGGGCAGGAGGCCTCGTTCTGAAATCGTTTGCTGCTGGTGTAAATGCATTGGGTCTGGTGGCTTTGGTGGTGAGCAGTGGACAGGATATAAAGAGGTGCATTTAGGGAAGAATGGAGAAGAAAATAAATAGCTTGCCTTTCAAAAGAGCAACTGTATCGGTTATCAACTTAACGTGACTCCTTTTTTTAAAGTAAAGTCTAGGTAGCACAAATCATGCTATGAGCATCTTTTAGTAAACTCATCGATTCAATGATAAAGAAATCACTAGATAGTTCTACATAGTATCAAAAAGAGAAGTCTTGCCTCATTTAAAGGTGAACCAATTATTGACCTGGGCCCTCTTTCTTAGAGGAACCAAACCTGGGATGTGTGTTCAAACAAAATGTCCATTTTGCATCTTAATATTAGGGTACACACAGTCCACACTGAATCTCGTTTTACATTTGGGCCCATATGCTATTCCGTCGGTAATTAAAGTACGTCTTATAGCTAATAAAAAGAAAGCTAAAAATTTAAAAACCAAAACAATGACAGGAAATAACATGTGTGTACAATATGTTACGAACATACTGATAATTTTCAAAAGTGACTTTAAGAAAAGTATTATAAATCTTTCAAAACACAGTGATTTATTAAGCGAAAAGTCTCAATGGTTTGCACTATTAAATCTGGCTTTTAAGTTGCGGTGTCACGGGCACATCTTTTGTTCTATTCTCCGAGGTTAAATTTAGCATCCTGCGTGTGTTTTTTCCCACTGCTCCATGTTTTACCACCATGCAGTCAATTTTGCACTAGGGAGTTTTCCTGAGGATTCCTCTTATTGATTTTATAATCCAGGAACAGAATGTATCAAATAATCCAACAGTGATTTATTTCCATCTTCTTCTTCGCCTTTTCCCACTTATATAGCCTTCTCGTAAAATAAACCTTCCCTGGGCATGGGATGAAAAAATAAATGTGGTGGCCTGAGCAAAACCATTTCAGAAATGTGTTCGTTAAACAAGTGCAAGCAGTAAATTGAGCTTCGGAGGGAAAGGCAGTTAGAAGAAAAACTGAAAGTACTAACCTGAAAGTCAAGCTGATTGGAGCAAGGGTGAAAGCAGCAATTTGGAGGATAAGCAGAAAGAAAAGGGGATAGCAAAAGAGAATAAAAGGAAGGAAATGCATTAGTTTTAAACATACAGCCAACAGGTGTTATATCAGCAGGTTTTATAACCAAGTGAAGGACAATAAAGCAACTTTTATCAAGATATTAACCGCCCCCCCCACCAAAAAAAAAAAAGCTGTGGGCACACACCATAAGCTGTTATACTAAATATTATACCTAGGACACAGGTACCTGCTCACACACCCACAGTCACCACAGGCACTGAGGTGAGCCAGAGCTGTGCTCTGGCAACCAGTGGCAGAGTTTGCTCTTTTCTGGAGGAATATTTTAAAAAGTTCCCATCTGTGTGCATATACAATTCTCATTATTTAATAACATGAAATGGAAATTACTGAGGTATTAGAGTGGGCGGTAAGCACTGATGTCAGAAAGATTTTATGTGAACCAGTAAGTCGATGGTTATATCCTATGGGATACTTTTCCTTCCTCCCTAAAAGTAAAAAAGGAGCCGAGCAATTTGGCTCTCTGTTCAAAGGTTTCCATTTGAGATGCTCACAGAGCACTGCACCTCACGATGATCAAAGACGCCACGAGGAAGGCTTCTGGGGAGGGGCCCAGCAGCCTCCCATGAAAGGACAGAGTCCCTTCCAAAGCTGAAAGTACTTCTGTTCAGTTGTAAAAACGAGAATTGTACTTCATCACTGACAATATATATCCACACGCTTGATGGCTTATTTGGACAAAAATATTTAACGTGCCCTTCTAATCAGTCAGAACAATAAAATCTCTAATGTCAAGCAAACTTTAAAAGGAAAAAAATAGCATGACCGCCTTCAGACTACCTCGGGAGCACACGGTGGGTGTTCATTTTGTTAACCTGTAAAATACCATCGGCACAAAGCAAAGTGGATTTACCAGCTCTCTATTCAGTGGGACCCCACCATTCTCTACTGCTAAGAAGTAGCTTCAAGCATTTGCACAGGAAGGAAAAACAAGACAAATCCTCAGGAGAAAGCTTAAACAAGAACATCTCCCGTGAAAACAGCATTGACTGTCATGATAAACATGAAGGAGAAAAATTCAAGATTGAGCACATGGTGAAAGCATCGATCTGGTAATTCCTGTAACTGAAATCCCCCTGCAGAGTGTTCTGTAATTATGAACGCACAACTGATCAAAAATAAGAGATGGGTCAGGCCATGGTCAGTGTGGGGACGCTGGGGATGCTGGCCCCAGCTGCTGTTTCAAATTCTTCTGGATCAGAGGTGTATCAGGCTGAGATTCATGGTCAATCTGTAGGAAATGCTAAACTGACATAGCAAGCCAACATTTAAGATTTAGTTGATTTTTCTAAGGGTTCCTACTTTTCACCAAATTCTCAAAGGATCCATGCTATCCATGACCTTCCCCCAAAGGCTGTTAGGGATGGTGTAAAACCACCTGCCGCTTATTTTAAAGAAAGTTCTGCAAATATAATGACAAACATAAATGGAAATTACTTAGGAAGAGGAGTTTATACCAAAACAAATAGAACTGGTATCGTTTCTTCCACGTACCAGGAGATTTCTAAACACACTATCATAGTTAAAAATAAACAAATAAAGATTAAGTTTACATTTTGTGAAAAGAGTTCTGAAAGGAATCAAAGAAATTATGTCAGCACATTATTAAACAAATTCAGGAAGAAAAAAAATCATAGCTTCTCAACCCTAGATAAGGCACTTGTGGGCACCTAAAATGATGCCTCAATGTCCAAACATCAGGTGGCATTGGTCCCGACCCAGATAATGGAGTGCCGCCTCGGCTTCTGTTCTGATGCTCTGTCTTAGGAGTGGAACCGAGGGAGCCAGCCTCCTCTCCACAGTAGGGAGGCATGTGACTGATGGCTTGACTAGGGCAATCCCTGTCCTTGAGACAAATACCAGTAAAGCCCCTAACATATTTAAGATAATTACATGAAAAGGCACCTGCCTGATTCCTTCCCATGGGTCAGCTGCTTGTTTGGCAGACTCTGTTCACCCCTCTCCTTCCCCAAGGCACCAAACGATTAATTACGAAACTAAAACTGCAAGACCCTGATGGGCACCAATACAGAAAGGCTATCTATTTCACTGTCTCTAATGTTCAATTAGCTACTCCATTGTATAGCCTAAAAGATACCTAGCATTGGTGATTGAATAAGGACCTCAATTCTCAGGGACTTGCTCAAGGCCTCCCAACCACCCTGTGCCAAACTTCCCCAGAGCAGCCTGCGGTCCCAGGCAGCAGCTCCCTGCTAGAACCATCGGGATCACGAGCCCGGCTTATGGCAGAACTGCACACAGGGACCACACTGGAGCAATACGCACTTTGAAAGGCAAAATCTTTAGTGGCTGGTGGAAAACATCACTCACGTGGAATTTAAGAGGTAGAGGCATCCATGTAAGTGCCGGGCATGTGTTATTTGGAACATATACATTATAGAGAAAATAAAAAGTGGGAAGATTACCGAAACAGAAAGCAAGCAGGAATTGCCCTTGGAGCGAGAAGCAGGCCAGTGTCGGAGTCGTTGAGTTATTCCTAACCCCATGCCTCTTGCTGCACACGACTGAAGTTCTGGGATATTTTAGAAACTAGCTGCCTTGAAAAGGAGGCCTTTTCACTCTGGTAGGTCACATTACAGACCAGAGACCACAAATTTATTTCAAGTTCAATTTCTTGGTTTTCAAAATCACAAACTTAATTGCAAACACTCCTCCGTGACTCCAAAATGGAGATATATGTCACATTGCTAAGAAATCTTTAGTTCCCAACATTATGAGGTATGAATTTGGCAGCCTAAGCCAGCAAATGGAGATACTGCCCAATGTGAACAGGGCTGCCTGACGAGACGAGGAAGATGCGTGGCTGGAATTTACACGTAGCCCTTACAGCAGCAGATAAGGCTCGAGAGAGACAGGCCAAGGCTGTGCTCTCCTTTTCCCAAGATGTTTCCCCTCTTGATCTCCACCCCCAAACTCCTCAGGGGCCTGGGCTGAGGCTGGGGCTCAGACATTTCCCAGACTGTGCTCTGCTGCTGGACCCAAGACACAGGCAGGCAGAGAGCTGGGACGGAGTCAAGTCCCAGCACACGTTTTATGAATTACAGTGCCTGGGAGGCATCAGCTTTAAGGAGAGGCAAAGGCAGAGATAAAGAAAATGTGCAGAAAGTACATAAAGATAAATGCCTGTAAAATCACTGTTGTCTTAATGCATTCCATATTGAGGAAATAAAAATGTGAAGACTCTTGATGATTTAATGGCCAGAGTGTCCAGCTAAGACCTGTTTGTCCACCACACAATGATGCTTTTTTTTATGCAAATATTTATAGTAGCTGATCCTGATTTTCAATTACAGTTCTGGAGAGCTGGTTTGGGGCAGAAAAATGCTTTCTAAATGTGGGGCACATCAGTTTTCCTCATGAAAGCTAATAAAGATGAGGCAGACCTCCCGTGTCCCAGCTGTGGTGCCTCTCTGCTGGCTGAGTGACTATTTGGTGCTACTCACAGTCAGTCACTTATGTGTCAGACCTGGGTTCAAATTTAGCCTTTGATTCTTATAAACTCTTCCATCTTGAGGAAATTAATTAATTTGCATAAAGTCATAGTTTTCTCATCTAGAAAATGGGGATGCATTGTGGGTAAGATGTAGTGGTATGCAGTATTGCAGGTCAAATGCTTAGAAGAGCGTCTTATACACGATTAGTGTAACCTATTATTGAGATTCCAAATACTATTATTAATTAATATCATCAGTATAACTATCTAAGGCATCTTATCAATGGAGCTCTGCTTCCCAGAGCGGTGGACGAGGGGTCCGGAGAGTTACATTACAATGATGTCCCTCTGACCACCGGGCCAATCCAGAGTCTGAACCTGCCAGGGCCTTGGGTTGGTCCTAAAATGTAGTTCCAAAATAGCCATGTAAACTTATCTCAAATTAACAGTGTTCTTAAGAACCAGTAAACTGGCAGAACATTTCCACATTTTAAAATCAAAATAAAGTCCTTTAAAAAATTTTTAATTTGTACACTTAACTCAGGAAAATAGTTTTGGTTTAATGGCTACAATTGGTCTCATTCAATCAAAATCAGATTATTACCAGACTAATGCTAAGATTTTTTAATGGTTATTAGCTGATTTGGAGTTCGGATATATTTAATACTATATTTGAAAATGTCAAAATTTTATTGAGAACTAATCTGTCCATTTAATACCAACGCAGGTAATATTGAGAATTTATTGAACATTCAGCTTTTCATAATGATATAACCATCCTATCTTACACTGGGAATTGGTACCTACAAAGGATGACATTTCTATTTATTTATTTGTTTGTTTATTTGTTTATGTATTTATTTATTTTTGTTTATCCTCATCCGAGAACATTTTTCCATTGATTTTTTTTGGGGGGGGAGAGTAGAAGAGAGAGGGAAAGACAGAGAGAAACATCCATGTGAGAGAAACACATCAATTGGTTGCCTCCAGCACGAGCCCCAACCAGGGCCCGGGCCGGAGGAGAGCCTGCAACTAAGGTACATGCCCTTAACCAGAACTGAACCCGGGACCTTTTGGTTCGCAGGCTGGCGCTCTATCCACTGAGCCAAACTGTCTAGGGAGATACATTTTAATAGGTTATTAGAGATACACTTCTAACAAGATCCAAGGTCACACAGCTGGCATGAAGCTGAGGCAAAATCTGAACCCAGGTCTTTCTGTTGCTAAAGCCCGTGATCTTTCCACACCCCATAGACAGTTATTCTGCATATATCCTGAAGTCTGTTGGGCCCGCACGGGTGTCTTGGTCAGAGCTGGCAAACACTCACGGATTTATTCAAAATTGGCTGATCTCTTCCATATGCACTGAATCTAGGAAAGACAAATTCTTCCTTATTACTGAACCAATAAGGAATCCTGAAAGGTTATGGAGTTACGTAAAATTATTCAGAAATTCTTTCCTTATATGAAATACAGGAAAAAGCACTGATGGAAAGCTTATTTTTACAGTCCTTGCTATACATACATACAATATGGACATGATTTATCTAAAAATCTAAATACTCTGGAACCCTGATATAACCTTCTTTGTTTTTAGACAGAATTTGCTATCAAGTAGGCCTGCCTTAGACCCTCTTCAAACGTATTTATTTACCAAATGTCATAAGGTCCTCTTAAAAGATAAACCCCAAGATGAACTTAATGTTGTGTGCCAAAAAACACTGGAACTCCTTTCCTTTCTCCAATCTTGAATGAATTCCCAACTACCGTATAATCTTCCATATTCTTTGCTTGAGACAAACCTAAACCACAAATGTTTGTCTTTGATGGAGAAAAAAAAAAACAACAACTGAGGTTTCAGGTAGTCAAAGTCTTAATTTCTTACACACTTTGCTGGCATCAATGCCAGACCACTATTTTCTTAAACACTTCAGAAGTACATAAGTCACCAAAAGATAAGCCAAATACCTTCTGAGTAGCCCAGAGAAACCCAACATCATCCTAAATAATGTTGGTGCTCCACACAGGCCAAATTCATCAGACGTAACTTGTTTCTGACTTGAAATATGACTGTGTATTCTAAAACCAAGGTGCCCTGAGATGGTAACTAATCAATAGATTCTCTCTCGCTACGGGCAATTCACAACATGACTGCAACATTTACCTCTCAAGTTCCGCGATCTTCTTGTCCTTGTCATTCTTTTCATTCTCCACCTCCTTGAGGATCTCCAGCAACCTGTCGACTTCAGCTTGGGCCTTGCCACACTCATCGCGATAGTAAGATGCCTCTTTATCAAGCTGCTTTATTCGGTCTGCAAACTCAGGGTTCATCCTGGAGTCATCTTCAATATTATGAGCCTTCAATATTATATTTTTAAAGAATGGAGTTAAGACAACAATTTAGAACAAGAGATAGTGAAGTCACCAATGGCCCAGAAATTAACTATGGAGAACAAAATAATAATCACCAAGAATTATGGGTATACTGTCAGTTGAAAGGCAAAACGGGAAAATTGCACACGTCAGCTATCTTAGAACAACGCTGATTTTAAATTATGTTACAGTTTCAATGGAGAGTTTTTTTTATTGTTGATATTTTATTCCATTAAACATAGCTACTTTTTGCTTTTTTGCCCACCAAACATCTCAGGGGAGGTGGGGGTAGAGACTGCGATGCTACCTGGTCATTTGTCAAGCAGAACTAAAACTATTATCTCATATTCTAGAAAGTGATTCATACTAACAGTTTCCTTGCCAATACAGAGAAACCGAGATAAAACAATATTAAACCATCAAGGGCATATGCAAAGCCAGATAGCATAGAAGAGACTGGTTTCCTGATCACTGAGCACTTCATCCCATGAGAAGTAACAGCAGAAGATGCAGTTTGGATGGAAGACTTGGACGTGAGGAAGGGCTTTCCAGCTAACAGCCATACCCATAAATTCTTGCTCTATTGATTAAACTTAACCTGAACCAGGAGGAGGAGGAGCTAGTTCATGAACAAGCACATAGACGAGAATCGCAAACACATGCATGGGTGGGTGGCAGCTTTACACACGAGAACAGACACGGCAACAACACAGCAACAACACTGCAGAATAATTTGCAGCCAAAGTATTTGTGGTTTTGTGTGTGAGAGACTGTGTTATGGCTTTTTTTTTCCCAAAATAAACGTTTGGCTGAAATATTCCCGAACAGATGGAAATAACACTGCACTGCGATGTTTTGCCTACCCCTTGTTTCCCATCATTCCTAATTGGCTTCTTCAAAGAGCAGGCAGGGAAAAAACAAGTTGTTTAACAACAGTGCACAGTCAACATAGAAAGTCATCTATGTATGTATCTCCAACATCCATGTGTGAAATAAAATGTTAACAATTTATTAGGACGAAGTTGTTCTGCTGTCTTGCTATGGAGAGCAAGTGCTCATTGTGTTTTTATACACCTTCTTTTTTTTTTTTTTAGTTTCAGGGAAAAAACAAGGCAAGCAAGCTACAGCTACTGTGGGGTCAAATGAATCATGCATGGTTAGAAAAATTAATACTAATACTACTGCTAAAAGGTTGACAGTCTTTGCAATGATTTAGTAGAAAAAAATTCAAAAATTAGTATACATAAAATAAATTTCTTATTTATGACAAAATAATCACTTTTAGAATAAGATTTTGCATGTAACATATTATTTAAGCATGAGGATAGAAAATGAATAATTTGCTTTGAAACTCCTTAAGATTTCCTTATTCAAGAAAAAACTTGACTATACAAAAGATCTTGGAAAAATATAACAATTCAAACCACCTTGAATATTGGTGCCAGAATTTTTGAAAGGGTTATTAAATAAAGGTGCAAACTGGTAGCATTTAATACTTCAAGTCCATAGAAAGCTGTAAGAAAGAGTCCCATAGAGATGGGAGAGGAACAGCTGCTCCTGGGTCACCACCAGGGTCCATGCAAACACAAAAGGGAAGGGAGGGGTCCATATGACTGAAGCCTGGTGAGTCCCCAACCCAACCTGAGTGTTGGAGCCCAAAGTCTCAATGGGATTTACAGAAATACTTCAGATAATCAGCTCTATTCAGCCCGAATCACAGCTTCTTAGAGGATGGGCTGGAATTGTTAACCAGGATAGCATGAGTGTGTTAGGCTGTGGCCTACAGACACGGGGGTGATACTATACTAAATAAATACAGGAGAACTTGAGCTTAGAAAGCCAATGCTTTCTTCAAAGGTGTAAGGCCAGAGCCTTCATCAAAAAGGGAGTGAAGAAAGCAGTTATTTGCATTTAGGTAATACTCTTGCCTCTTCACATTGTGGCATGGGTTGTCTAATCTAGACTGGCAGCCCCTGGTGGGGATCTAAAGTAGATAACAGATTTGGGCCTAAAGCACTTTAGACACTGAAGGGGGAGGGGGGAGGGAATAATAGATATATTTGAATAAAGCATTACCTGAACAATCCCTACCATGGCATTCTGACCCATTCAAGGTTTAGAATGAAAATGTACAGTATTTATTTCCCCCACTGAATCTGTTGGTTTGAAATTACCTCCCCCAAAAGGCCAGGAAGCAATTGCCCATTCCATTCTCCGGAGGCACAGCATTAGTCAGAAATCTAGCTCTTGAAAACGCAGATTGGTGTGGCTTTTCCTTTAATTATCTCAGGACTTATTTATCATAAATATAGCCAAGCCCATTATCACTTTCAAAGCTACTCAGCAGTCATTAAAACCAAAGGATTGCCAATGAGCATTCTTTTCTAACAGTAGAGATTTCATTTTGCTGAATACACAGCTCAGTTTAAGAGCAAATCCAGGTACGCAGTTCTGCCTCAGAATATTTCTGGTAACTTCTAGAGCAACTTCTCAAGGATTGTATAGGAACAGAGAAAATTCAGGAAAGAACACTTCGGAAATGTCCATATGACATATTAGACCAGTAAGCTCAGAGGGTCCCTCGATTATGTTTCTTGAATTTCCACAAGGGAGGGAATTTCTCCATAAACGGGAATAACCAAGATACAGGCTGCAGTCTTACTGATGAGGGCAAGCCTTGGCATGTGGGCGTGAGCTGAATCTGAAAGCTCGAGTCAAGCACAGAAGAGACATCTAGCCATGACTTAAAACAGGTGGTACATAACAATACCCAGGGGTTCTTTTCATGAAAAAATTTAGAACTATTTCAGGGAATAAGGCAAAATTTCAGATAAATGCTATATCTAAATCAAAGTTAAGAGCAAAAAGTGGCTGAAGCCAAACCAGGGATTGATAGTATCAATACAACAAATTACAAGTTTACTGACACTCCTCATGTATCGTTTGGCCATTGATTATTTTCAATAAAGTGGTAGTTCAACATTCCAAGTGCCTGGAAAGGGAAGCATTAACTTTGGTCCAGAAACCTGCTGTGAAACCAGGCAGGGAATATTCAATTATAATATTATATAACATTCTCTCTTTGAAATGAGCCCCAACAATTTTCATAAAAAATCCTTTCTCTCAAACAAATGATTAGTCCTGACCATAAAGTGCAAGCAGAACAGTAACTCGTGTGTCTTCCCTGCGGTTTATGGGTTGTAGCAATAATTTGCTAAATGTATGCGCTGTGAAAATACGATTCTCAACTGTGGGACCTACAGGGGTTTAGTGTCTGGTAACAGCACTTTAACACATTGTTCATATCCTAAGAGTGGAGCAGGGCGCACAAATTACTTTAAACATATTTGATTTCACTCTTCTAAAAGATATTATAATGTTCACTTAACTCTGAGTTATGAACAAAATATTACTTTTTTAAATAAAGTTTTAAGGGTTATTATACAACTCTAACATATTATCAATTTTAAATTTTAAGTCTAATGAATAAATAGCTGAGACTAAATAATACATTTGGAAACTAATAATAATGAGTCTTACACTATTTACTTCTATGGAAAAGTATTATTTCACAAATCCAGCTAAATACATCCAGAATGTTCACAATTTGCACGTTATAACTATTCCTAAAAGACATTTTTTGTTGTAGATGGGGCAAATAGGATATTTATAAATAAACATAAACACATGCTCAAAATAATGTTTCTGATGTCACATACACAAAATAAAAAGACTCAACTGTATGCTTAATACTTTTTACACCTTTCACACAAACAAACAAAAATAATTATTAAGGTAATACCTTCTAACTAAGAAATCACTTAAAAATAGCAATATAGAGAACTGAGGTAATTACCTAGATATTCTACAACAAAACATGTAACTTCAAATCTTAAGAGTCAATTCAAATATTACTTGAGTTCTTCAGATACTGAAAGCCTGGATCAAGTGTGAGGGGTGTGTGTGTGTGTGTGTGTGTGTGTGTGTGTGTGTACATGCTATGAGTACATCCTGAATTATCCAACTTAAATTATCTCTTAAGTAGTTGTGATTTGCCAGTCTATGAGTGAACAAACTAAATTTCAAGAATAGACTAAAAATCATAAAAAGAAAGTACTGTACCTAGACAAAGACTGTGAAGGTATATATAATTCAGCCCAGTATGTTCCTGGGATTACACAGTCCTATAATGACAAATAAATCAGAAAGACTTCACTGAACATTAACAAGATCCCCACCCACCCACCCCCGGGACAGGCAAATGCTTGATCTTTTTCTTTTAAAGCCTTCTGTAAAATGTGAGCCCTGCAAAAGATGCATTTAAAGAAGAGAGAGCATTTCAATGGCTAGTGATCGGGCAGGGGACTCACATGCATGTGGGAACATCAGAGGCGTCTCAGGTGAGCCCTGGCCAGTAGCAAGGTTGCCCCAGTGCCTCCAGATCAGTCACTTTCCTGGTAGCAGTGAGGGTATTATACAAAGCATTAAACTTAGGACTGAAGTGTCTAAAGATTTGTTAAACGTTTACAAGAGAACTCAGGATACCATCACTTGGCACAACAGCCTCTAGGACTACTGTAAAGAAGGTATTCCAGACTGGTAAACACACACACACACACACACACACACACACACACACACACACACACACACATATTATCTGTCTAGAATTAAGAACTAAGGGAAGAAAATAACTCAACTGAAGATAACCTACAGTGTTCATAATAACAAGACAAAACTACTTTGGGAGTAGAGACTGGTAGTTAAGCTACAGAAAGGTTATTATTATAAGAAATAATAAAGATACAAAGGCAAAGTTTTAGATTCCTAAGAAATGGCATTAGAGTATTACTTAGTACAAAGGTTTTTAAAAGTAGGTTTATTACTACTCTAAGAAAACATTACCCCCAGGAGGACTTCAAAAAGCTTATTTACTCCGATTTAGTTTAGACTGATGGACATAGGACTGACTGTAAAATTATCTTATTTAACAAAAACAACTAAGTTATAATTCAGCAAATTTGTAGGCAGCCATATTAAAAAGAAACACACAAGAATAAAATTAATTCCATAGGTACCAATAGCTGGTTAGAAAATAAAAGGAAAACTGTAGCATTCACAGCAGTAACCTAAAAATTATATATATGGTCATGCTTAAGACTATACCTTAAAAGCAATACCACAGGCCTATAATAGAAAAATATCAAAACTTTACTATAAAAGATCACTGAAATAAATAAAAGTTGTACTGAGTTCATGAATGGAGAGAGATAATATCGGAAAGATAACAAACATTCTAAAATTACTTTATAGGTTGATTAGTATTCAAATTAAAATCACCAACACGTGTGCTTTTTAACTGAAAGGTGATCCTAAAGTTTACTTGGAACAATAGAAAATTAAAAGCTAAGAGCATTAAAACAAAACAAGACAAAATGAAAAGCAGAAAGCAATAGGGTGTAATTTTTTTCACTAGATGTTTAAAAATATTATAATGACACAATAACTAAAATTCTGACCCAACAAGCAATGGACAGTGATAAAATGAACAGGAGTTCAGAATATAAGATATTTGTTTATATGAAAACTAATTAGACAATAAAATAGTGTCAAGGTCAGAAGATAAAGATTTTTTTTGTTTGTTTAAGGGCACTGAAATAATTAGTTGATCCATTGAGAAAAATAAAAAATTGAAACCTCATCACTCACTATGCATCAAAATAAAATAAAGGTAAATAAAGGGGTTAAATTGAAGTAAAAAGTAACATTAAAATTTTTTAAATATAACTGAGAATCTATTCTTAAAATCAGCAATGACTTCTAAGTATAAAGGCAATGAGGAAATCTAAAAGGGAAACACAGGTCAAAAACCTAAAAATCGTTCTCTATGAAAAAAAAATTAGGTTAAATAAAATTTTGCCACAAATTTAACAAAGGTTCTATTTAAAGCATAAGTAACTCATACAAACTAATAAACAAAACAGCAAACTAAAAAACAAATGCTTAAATGATTTAAAGGAACACTTTACAGAAAAAAAGTACAAATAATGTGTTAAAAATCTCAACCACACTAGTAATTTTAAAAAGGAAAGTAAAAATGAAAAAATGCACATATGCATTTGTCAGAGTTATGTAAAATGATGGTTCTTAGTGTTGGTCGGGTGTGGCAGAAAAGGCTGCCTGATTCGGTGTGGGAAGAAATGTTTCTTGGTAGAACTTTTCTAAAATGCAAATAGCAGGAACTATTGGGAGTTTTTTAAAATCACTGGCCAGGAATTTATTCTATGAAAAAAAAAAACAGAAATGTTGGAAAATTAACATGGAAAGATGTTCTGCAGAACATTGTTTATACTGGCAAACACACACACACACACACACACACACACACACCGAGAAAAGGAAAGAAATGACCAACATTTGGCAAATGAGAAAATAGAGTGGAATAAGCATTAAAGTAGTGTTTTGGAAGAATAGTGGATAATATGAGAAAATTCTGATATGTTAATAAAAATTAGGATATAAAGCTCAATAAACACTTTGAGACAATTTTGTGAAAAGAAATAGAGTATTAGATTTTTTTAAATGAAAGGATATAGGGAAGGAGAAAGAAAAGAAAGAGGGGAAGAAGGAAAAAGGAAGGGATGGAAGGAGGAAAGAGGAAAGAAAAAAGGAGAAAAGGTGAAAGGGAAAGAGGAGAGAAGAGAACAATAACATCGAAAAGATGTCTGGGTTGGGAACAAATCAAATGTTCCTAGTGATTATCTGTGTGTAGTGAGATGTTTTGTTATTTTTATTTTTCTCCTATGTCCTTCCATACTTTTGCAAATTCTCCACTGTGACCATATATTATTTTTATAACCAGAAAAACAGTCATTTTTTAAAAGACTATTAAGGGTAGGAAATTCATCATGCTGCAGCATCCCTATCAGTCCAAAAAAGAACTGGACCCTGAGAATATGTGCAGACAGGGAGTTAAAATAATGAGAGTTTGGCTATATTCCCAGGATGCCAAAACAATGGGCTAGCTTAATTAACTCGGGGGGAGAAAAGCCAGTGGATCACTTTAGAATTAGTCGCTTAAAGGACTTAAAAGTTCACTTTTGCATCCTGGGGACCCATCACTGGGGTGAAAGAAAGGCAAAGTCCAGCAAGTGCCACATCATCAACATTTCTGGAAATGGGCTAAAAGTCCACAGAACTATTTCTTTGGGCCAACCTACCCCACCAGGGATGGTGAACGCCTGCCCTGCTCCTGTTAAATCTGGGATCCTACAGAGACACGTGGGCTCCCCATGCGTCCAGCACAACCCCAAAATGTGACATACTTAGGTTTCCTTACTGTCCTTCACTAGCCAGAATGACACAATTTCAGTGGGATTCCTTTATGTCTTTTTTTAAGTGATCTAAAGAAAACACTCATTTTTCCCCGGGGTCAGTTTTCAGGCTTGAAGATATTCCAGTCTTATCTGTCTTTCCTCACCTCCACCCTGTCTTGAGCCTGCATATTAAAACTTCCATTCAAATGTTAAAGGACAGGAAATTTGGATGTTTTTTGCTGCTCCGCTAAAAATCATATTTGTGGAAAGAGGTTAATAAAGAACCCCCAACAGGGCATGAGGAATTCAGTTTGCAAAAATAAAAGAGTGGAGGGTGGAGCCTGAATCTAATGAAAGACACCCAGCACCCTGTGTGTCATGCCTTGGTTTCTGGAGCAGCGGCTTAACAAAAAGTGGTGGGCTAAGGTTTTTCCTTCATCCATCCCACTCCTTTTCCTAGTGATAGGCATTTATAAATAGGAGGTAACTGGAATGCATGATGGCACAGATCACATCTGCCAAATGACAAAGTCTGGTCACCTTCAGGCAATATGTCTCCCAGTAAGCAACTTGAGTTGACAAAGCAAGAAAAGCCCTTCTTTAAACTATGTTAAAGAAACAAACTGCTTCCCATAAATGCATCCCTGTCATTAGGATAAAATAAATCAGTGATGGAATCTTGACCATCTTACACATATTTTTACTAGTCACCTGTTTTTGAACCATGAAGCTATAATCAGAACTGTTACGATCTGTTGTTATTAGGAGGCTATGTTTTAGTTTGTCCTCAGCCAAATGACACGTTTTTAACTCTTATAAAACCCACAATAATGTTAGGCATTTACCAATCTCAGAGAGCATAGCCCTATTTTTAGATCTAAACCTATTTTAACGTCTATCGTTTGAATGTAGCACACATTGACTTGTTTGCTACACGAGTATGAATTTAAGGATCTAAGAATTCCTTGAGCCTAGATCTGCAGCTAACCTCTGCTTTTCTATAGCCTTGGCTTGAAGAAGGTAATATCAAAGCTGGCAACATATCCCTGGATTCTTAGTTTTTAAATTTCTCATTCAAAAGAAATGGCAGTGGACTGCGCACAGGTCATTTCTTCTGACAAAACGGAAATGGGAAGAGACTCATAAATATTTTCCAAACCTCCCCAGTATGGCACACTGTGACATGTGATCAATGGATCCTCATGCTTTGATATGTTACAGCAGGAACTTTCAGAAATGACTTACTGGGTTGTACATCTGATTGAACAACTGCTCAGCTTGCTACATTGCAAAGTTGGGGAGGCATTGAAGCACAGACAAGGGAAAGAAGGAAAGATCCAGAAAAACAGCATTAGCTCAACAAATCCAGTGCATTTGCACAGACAAACTGGTCGTTAAAAAAGAAGAAATTTCAGTTTCTAAACATTCCACAGTGAAAGTGAGAGGCTCTGGGGAAATAGAAATGTTGACTTTGGCTCCTAGAAAAGAATAGCTGGAATAAGAAATTTAAGGTTTGTGTTACTTTCCCTTTCTCAAGTTAAATAACCCATGAAATAAAGAAAGCTGTCCACTTTTGATGATACATGAAGTGCTGGCCTCTAGCAATGAATCAGGAGAAGTACTTTTGGCCAAGCTTGCAATTTATTACCTGAACTTCAAAGATGGTAATAATAAAAGATTAATTAAATCTTATCATTGAATTTATAGCTCTTCTTTTATATTAACACAAGCCTGAATTTTCTATTCAGTCTAACTTTAGAAAAACATAGATCAGCAAACAGCAGGTTAGCAATAGCAAAATATCAGTAAGCAAGACATTACAGGATTAAGAGTAAAGGGAAGAAGTAAAAATTTCAGTCAGCAGGAAGAATAGAGGGAACCAAAAACAGCATTATCCATTGTTCATTACCAATTTCTTACTGTTAGTTTGTAATTAATAAAAAATATCGTTTTCAGTGACTACCCTACTATGATCCAAGTGTTTAAGAATCTGCAATGCTCTCCTGTCTATGTTGTGTAGAGAGTTCAATGTTTGCGGACTTAAGTGTACAAAACATTATTTTAAATAGCACTCTCAAGTTCTAGCTCTCAAATACCTGCATCATTAACTTGGGGCCCAACAGCAAGGTGCAGAAGGTAAAATACTGTAGGAAATTTTCACTTTGCTTTACACTAAAACATGTGACTTTGAAGAGCCTGAATTTTTTTATTTCTTCAACTTTAATGAAGTAAATAACTTTACCATGGTTAAAAAATCACCCTCCTCAGAAATTAACAAAGATCGCAAATCAAAACATTTCACATTGCTATTGCTTCTCAGTTGATTTCTAGTCATTTAAGGTAAATACGCTCCCACATATCGAGCATCAAATAGTCTTTTGAAAGACAAATCAGTCCATGTATCCCTGACTAGTTCTTCTCTACCCCTAGGTGTCTATTTAAGATTAATGAATGCACTAGTTTGTAAAACACACACATAACTAGTAGTTCTGCATTATTTGGTTAGTACCATTTTATCAGCCTATCAGTAGAGATTTCCTCACATGAGAACATTTGATTGCATTGTTTTTAAGACCTGGGATGGAATGTGTAAGAAATAGTTCTTTTTCTGCCTGTAACCATTTTTCATCACAAGGTATTTAATTAACACAGTATAGTAAAGGGTTAAAAGCAACTATGTATGTGGAATGTTTTCCACAAACTTTTATATAATCACTCACTTTACTAATTTCAAGAATTGTTTATAAGACAAAAAAAAAAGACAAATTTAAATCACCATTTGGACTCCATTGTCACTGGCAGACAAGGTTTCTGTTCAGCTAAACACATCTACATTGTGTAGATTTTATGGCAAAAATACCTGGACACTCACAAATTGTGAGCAAAATTCCATTGGGAATTCATGGTTTATTTATGACATAATAAAACTATTATGTTTTCAGCTTTCATTTAGTAACCCTTTATATTTTATTCACAAGTCACATACCCTTTTATTTAAAGGGAGGCCCAGACACTCCTTAAGCTTTTATAGCTGCTTATTTTTCCATGAGTAAATGATGTGTTTATATGTATATTCACATACTGTTGGCTTATATTTTCAAATATTTCATGTAGATCTCAATTCTTTTTAAGGTGATGGGTACTTGAGGTTTTTACAGAACTATTTATTAGCAGAAATTAAAGACTACTAGAAAAAGTATTTTAAACTTTTGAATTTAGTTGATGTTAGAGAGCCAAAAATAACAAAATAGCATCTGCAGGTTAGGTATAAAAATATTTAAATTATAATTAACTTATTTAATCTCACTATACTATGCATTTAGGAGATACTATAAGCAAAGATTATTTATATACTTAGAAATAAGTTATATTTTCATAAATTAAGTAAGTCCTTTAGAGCAAGATAACCATATTTGTTACTTTAATTCTAGTGATGTGGCAGAATATTAAAATATTGTTCAGGAATAATGCTAAAATGTTTACAGAACTTGATTTGTGAATTTCAGTATATGGCGTCTTCCTGTGTGTTAAAGGAAACCACATGCTCAAAATGATTTCTCGGTTGAACCATAGCTATGTTGAAAGAAACAAAATTGAATTGCATAGATGCTGATTTATTAAACTAGTCAATTCATATATACATGGAAATCTTAAGCATCAATATGTGGACCTCTCCCTTTTAATTCATTACTAGAGCGTTTTAAATCTCGTAGATGACTTACATGAAAAGGGAGGGTGTCTAGAGAAATAATCTGCAGAAATAATGTATGGAATGCCCTCATCTCCAAATTGGCTCCTCAGAGTTGATGAAGATGAGATGACACGAAGGACCATCAAAGAGAGCCAATGACATCCCCTCTTTCACAGAGTTATCTAAGAGCCTGCTTTATGGACTTTACAAAACTGTTCGGTAAACAAAAAGTACAGTTCTTGGTATGCATGTGCATGTATAACATATTGCAGAACACATGTATATATGTGTCAAGAATGTATATTTACGCCCACTGCATGAATAGCCAAGTCAATCTCCATTTAAACACCCTCAAATGGGCAGTTTAAATTCTTCTATTTATTGTTCAAGATTTCTGCTTAACTGGAAATTGCTTGGGGGGAAAAAGTGAGATGTTGAGTAGATTGGGAAACAGATTTTGCAATATAGAGATTTTCTTGCTGTTTTGTTACAAGGGGATTTGATCTGTATGTTTAGCTTTTCTGTATTGGTAAGGAGGCTTTATTAGTGAGAAATTTCTCATGACAATTTCCTAAAATTCCATGGTAAAGTAAACATAGTATAATCAATCACATGTCAGTTACATATTGCATCATATAAAATAGTCTATTAAATTTTAAGGTATCCAGAATAATTTCTCCACAGATATATATAATGTTTCACATCCCTATCATCCATATCATAGTTTCATAACTTCAGCAAATAAATCCCCATCCAATGTGCTGTGAATTATACATAGTCAAATTCTTATATGCTTTGTTTCATTTTTTTAGATTCTTCTCATCTCCTTTGAATAAGTCTATACGTTGTCAAAGGGAAACAAAATGCTTAAACTCATAATGTTATGAGTTTTAGGTGAACAATGAATGCAGACGCACCAAACAACACAGGGAAAGAGTCAAAGGCATGATGCATGACTGGGAATATGCTGCACAGAAATGTCCAGCCCAGGAAAACATGTTAACACTGCGATATAAAGACCCTGCATTCTTTCCCAAAGCCTTCACATAAAACAAGCTTCCTCAGAAAGTAGGGCCAGTTTAGGTCAAATAGAAAGAGTCGTCCCACAGATATTCCAGGGACTTTGACTCTTTTGGTGACTGTCTAGAAATTTAATGTTGTCAGGTAAACTTTGCAAAGTTCCAATAGAAAAACTGACCTATTTCTAAAAGTAGTAAAACTTTGTCAACGTATAATCGGGCCCTGGATTCTTTGGTTGGTTGCAAATATTTCCATTTATCTCTTTTCGTAGTTGAGATTTGCCCAGAGAGTAATGGCTGGCTTTTATATTTTGTTTTTACTTCCACTACTATTTTCATGTATTTTTCAGAAAAAAAATTTTTTTTTTCAGACAGGAAACCTAAGATAATTTTTCAGGTTCACAGACAGATTTGATGCAGACTTCTTAGGAATAAAGTTATCAGCAGACAGTGAAAGATAAGGGGTTTGTTTCTTTTCCTTTCCCATTTTATAAATTCATTACAAAATGAAGATGTTTTGTTTTGTTTTTTCCTTTGGCCTCACTTACCTTTTTTAACTGTGCTTCCAGTTTGCTACATTCTTCTTTCTTTTGTTCGATGGCTATTTCTAGAGATTTTAATTTCGAGTCCCTTTTCAGCCCTGCTGAGGCTAGTGAAGATGCGTGCTCCTTGAGGTCAATTAAACTAGACTGAAACAAAAAGAACACCAGTAAGGAAGGAAAACACTGCCATTTCTACCAGCGGTGCCTTCTATTTGAATTCACTGATTCTATACATAGCAATAACGTGTGCATTAGGCCGAAAGAGTAAATATAGTCTTACTAACGTAACAATAGTCTGCTCTGGCCAGGAAATTAAAGTTGGCCAGCTTACAGAACCGAGCAGGATCTAATTGCAACAGAATCAAATGTGACCGAATGGTGTGGTCAGTAAAGGCATGTTTCATGTCTCCAAGTCCTGCTAATGATCTAAGTCCCGAGGTGGTCTTTACATGTCATGGCAAAACAGACACCCTGAACCTCCATTTACATTTATTGCTGTCAGGTCGTGCAGACTCTAAGACAAATAGGAAAGAAAATACGAGTTTTAGTGCTTTCCCACCCTCCCTCTCAGGGAAAATCACGTATAAAAGAAACACCCTATTAAGTTGTGATAAAATTCCATTTCTTTAACAGACAAATGGCCAATAGATTTTCAAACATCTTCTGTGTCATCAAAGATAAAGTTATATTAAAATGTAGAGTAGACTTTCTGTTCCAGTCCTCTGTAAATCCAGATTCAGCAGATAGAATGAATCTCTCCAACTCGGACACGGGGTCACCTAAATTGTTCCATCCATCATTCATACCCAGAAACCAAGGGCTTCCCTGTAAAGTCTAAATTCTAAAAAAAAATAAAAAAAGAAGTAGTTGCCTACATATATCACAGAACATAACATTGCTGGCTGGGAGGGCAATGTCCATCACTATATATGAAATCATTAGCAACATCTAACTAGGTGACTAAAACGCTCACATTTCTACACTCCTCTGCAACACATAGGGAGACACTAAGCATTCAATGCTCTCTCAGTAAATGATGTTGATACTTTAATTCTGGGCTGCTTCCCGGGTACTGGCATCACCTTGTTGATGACAATACTACCACCATTACCCAGCCAGCAGCCCAGCTCCTCGTAACCATCTGAGGGGCAGGTTAGCCATTCTTATTCTTCAGGTCAGGAAACTGAAGCTCACATGAGCTACGTGTCTTTTCCAGTGTCACCAGGCTATGAAAGGGAGATGCAGGTCTCAAACCCAGGTCTCCAACTCCAATAGCAATACTCTTTATCAGATCACTCCACCAGAAATAATAAAGGACCTTATACTCCACACATCCTGCCCTGGTGAGGACTGGTACCCCCCCATCTCAATTATAAGCTCCCTGCTGACAACAATTACATGTTTTCTTCCAGATAACTTTTAAACTGCTGGGTGTAACAGCTGTGCGTGTCAACTTGGCTAGGCTGTCATCCCCAGTTCTTCAATCAGACACTGATCTGGGTTGTTGCTGTGAAGAGATTCTGTAGATGTGACTAACATCTACAGTCAGCTGACTCTAAGTAAAGGATATTATTCTCCATCATCTGGGTGGGCCTGATCCTCTCCGTTGAAAGGTCTGAAGAGCAGAACTGAGGCTTCCCTGAGACAGAAGGAATTGCACCTGTGGACCCCAGCGTCACCTACCCTCTGAGGGTCTCCAGTCTGCCCTTCCTGATGCATTTTGGACTTGTCTCTACATTTTAAAATGAGCCAGCCTCCCTAAGTATGTAAGCCAATTCCCTGCAATAAATTTCTTAATATGGTTAAATTTCTTAATACAGTTCTGTTTCTCTGGTGCAAGTTTGACTGACTCTCCCAGCCCGATGGCAGGCACATTATTATACAGGAACAATAAATGTTGGCTGAAATGCCTGTCTGAAATTCATACAGAGTAGGCACTGTTTACAAAATTATTTTCAGTTAAAACTTATGCTCCGCCATGTCATCAAGATCTCGTTTCAAATAGGGGTGTGTGGGGGTGTGAGTGTGTGAGTGTGTGTGTGTGTCTGTGTACGTGTGTGTATTTCAACTTGCAAACCCATAAAGAACACTTGCCATTGGCGAAGAATGCTGCAAAGTTCTATGCTTCTGTCGCATATCAACTATAGTAGTTATAGATCCCCAGGTTGAATGATCAGGAAATAGAGTTGAAAGAGGATTTACATTGTTTATTTTCATATCAAAACTGTAATCTCCTCTCTAAAAAACTTAAATTTTCACTTTAAATTTTAGGGTGCATAAATTTTGCTTCTGCGTTTCTTCCAAACTCCTATTCCTCATCCATTCTTCCCTTCTTGGATTCCAAATTTAGACTGTACTTTGATTCATACAGAACTATCAGAACCCATTGGTTGAGGTAACAGTTTGCAGCTGGAAAATGGGCAACTCTGCAGTGAGGAAGCCCAGCAGAGAGAAAGGTCTGGAACAGCCCTGCAGGAGAGGGTGAAGGGACCATGAACAATAGTGCATGTCTCAGAGTTTTGGAGATTGAATAATGTGCATTGCTGCTTCTCAAACCTCTCCCCCAAGCACCCGTAAGTAAACTGAAGAGTATTGGGTTATAGCCCAAAGCATCCTCTCCATAACCCCTAACAAGAAGTTTCTTTAAAGTATATTGTTTTACTGTAAAAATGCAGGTGAGATCTGTTTTCTGTTTCCATGTTTGCTCCAACATAAAATTATTATTTTAAACTATTTACCATAATGTGAAAATGATGTCCCAGAAGAGCAGCCACATTTAACCTATACCTTTGTGTCCAGCCTAGTACCATATCTTTTAACCTGGGTATTGAGTGATCCATTTGAGAAGCATAGATGAATGTAAATCACCCAACCCAAGGTAAGCACACAAAAGGCCTTCAATAAAGTGGAACTGTTATTATTATTGAAGAGGCCCAGTGGACGCAATTCGTGCACATGGGGTGGGGGGTGGGGGGTTGTCTCTCAGCCCGGCCTGCATCCTCTCTGATCTGAGACACCTCACACAATCCAGGACCGCTGGCTCCTAACAGGTCACCTGCCTGTCTGCCCGATCACCCCTAACCACTCTTCCTGCTGGCCTGCTCACCCCCAACTGCCCCCCTCACCAGCCTTCTTGCCCCCAACTGCCCGCCCCTGCCAGCCTCATGGCCCCCAACTGCCCTCTCCGGCCTGCCTGATGGCCCCCAACTGCCCTCCCCTGCCGGCCTTATGGCCCCCAATAGCCCTCCCAGCTGGCCTGATGCATCATAGAGTCACAACTACCCTCCCTGGCTGGTCTCCCAGAAGGTCTCCTGGTCTAATTAGCATATTAACCTTTTATTAGTATACATGTTTTTGTTGTTCTCTCAAACAAAAATATCATGGGACAATGGCATCTAGGCCAAGACATCAAGAAGAATTTCAAGGAACTACACCACATGCAGCTAGTAGAGAAGGTCTGCATTGAGCATCACCGATGAAGAGAGTTACAGTATATATTTTCCTTTGAATTCAGACAGCTTTACAAAGAAAGGTAACTATGTTCCCCAAGCCTTCACAGAGGCCCTCAAATTTAGTCTTTAGTGTCTTGAGGCTGCCATGAATAGGATTTTATGAGAACTATCAACATGGTTCGTTTGTTTCTCCAGACTCACCTCTTTCTCAGTCAGTTCAGCTTGCAAAGCATTGACCTTGTCTTTAAGGTCTTTGTTCTCTTTTCGGAAAGATTCTATCTCTTCTAGTCTTTCCCGATCATCTCTTTCCCGCTGTTCTTTCAAGCGCTCAATAATTCTTTCCTGGGAGGCAATTGTAAAAAAAAAAAAAAAAAGTGAAAACCCATCAGTATATATGGCAAGACATGCTACCAAAAGAAATGAGGCAATAAATGTAAGCAATTCTCTACAAGAATCAATACACAAGATTAAAAACTGGGTGTGTGAAGAGAGGCATAACAGACAATCAATACAGCTTTTGGCTTGTTGATGAAAGTTAGCATCATAGAGTCACAAGGGATATTAACGTTCAAGCTCTGAGGCTGTTTTGGTTCATGGTGGTGCTTGGAAAATGTCAAGAGCAATTCCAGCAGAGAGAGGCTCAGGCACCAAGACGCCAGACCAGCCAAAGCCTTGCGGGCCCAACCCTCTCTGCTGGTCTTCCCATCTGATGGCAGAGAACTTTCCTTGGATTCTGAAGACGCTTCTCTGACCAGAAAGTGGATTGAAGTGGGGCAGGACTTAGGACGGACTCAAGTGAAAACTTGAAACAAAATTAAGAATTAGCCGAATGTGTAAGTGATTTCCCAATGTGTTTAGAGATGTTCATTTACTTTCAGATTTTTTCAGTGGTTTATTGGCAATCAGTAGAGACTCCAAAACATTGCTTAAATTTGAGTAAAGTTCACATTGCAGCTTTCCTTTACTGAGAGCTTAGTATGTGTTAGGTACTATAACCTGCCTGCTTACCTAGTCCTCAGCACAACAGCGAGGTCTCAATCACGGCTACTAGGAACAGTGCAGAAATGAGGGAACCCAGGCACAGAAAGGTCAACTGACTCATCCAAGGTGGCTCAGCTCACAAACAGAAAGTCCAGGCTGACAGCCAGGGATCTCTTAGTCTTAGCTAAGCCCATGAAAACACACTGACAACAACATAAGCATGGAGCCATCCAAGGAGATCTGAGGACCTGTCTGCCCATGACTTTCATACTGAAATAAAAAAACCATGCTGGCCGACAGGTGTGGATCAGTTGGTTGAGCATCATCCTATGCAACAAGAGGTCGCTGGTTTGATTCCCGGTCAGGTTACATGCCTAGGTTGCAGGATTAACTGCCGGTAGGGGGCATGCAGGAAGTAGCCAATAGATGTTTCCCTCTCCTTTCCTCTCTCTCTCTAAAATCAATAAAACATATTTTTAAAAAATACTACTCTGGTAGACAATGTCTCCCAAACTGAGTAACTTTACTGATATCAAAATAAGAAACTTTTTTTTAAGGAAAGTTCCACTTGAGAAAAGTTTGAGTTAGATTTCTAAAATTTGTTTCAAATTACCCAACACATATCTGAACTTCCTTTTTGAAAGCATCATTAAAAAATATTGGTGTGGCCCTGGCTGGTTTGGCTCAGTGGATAGAGCATCGGCCTGCAGACTGAAGGGTCCCAGGTTCCATTCTGGTCAAGGGCACATGCCAGGGTTGTGGGCTCAACCCCCAGTAGGGGGCATGCAGGAGGCAGCCGATCAATGATTCTCTTTCATCATTGATGTTTCTAACTCTCTTTCCCTCTCCCTTCCTCTCTGAAATCAATAAAAATATTTTTAAAAATATTGGTGTGGCAATGACACTTAAATATCCTGAGATTATCTTTTATATTCTTGAAAGTACATAATACAAGACAATTCCTGATGCATAAGACAATGTAGACTAGTGTTTAATGCAGAGGGAAGTTAGTTGGAACACTGCATCTGTGATTTAAGATCCCCCAGGGAAGCAACTGTTCTACCTCAATGATAGTAATTTATGTATCTAATGCTTTCAAGGGGGGGAAAAAAACTACTATTATTGTTTTACAATTACTTAAAAATACTTTAAAATGAAGTATATTATTATAATAGTGGGGGTGGAAATAGAACAAATGAGTCATTAATAGCCTATATTTGTTTCTTCTTGATTCCAGTGACAGTCCTATTTTACTCTGTCTGTGACACTGGGAAGTGGATGATTATGTGATCTCCAAAGAAGGAAATGTCCTCAGTGTATGGGGAGTCTCTCAAGGGCTTTTAACAATTTCAGCAGCTGAGCCCTTGCTGCCTTTGCCTACAATTAATGCAAATGCCTTCGAGCAGGTCACCTAGCCACCAGGCCCTCTCCATCTCATCACGTCCACCGCATGGCTGTTGGAGTGACATTTTTAAAGCCCCAAACTGACGGTGTCACCTCACTATTTGGAAACCTTCCCAAGAATCACTCTGGCCTGGTCATGTGGCATTTTTTCCCACTCAGCACCCTTCACGTGGCTTCCAGCATGCCCGTCCTCCCGGGCCAGCTTCTCAAAGGGCAGTGCTCACATCCAAAGGGCTGGGCAAACTGTCTGGCCTATACCAGGCAATTAAAAAGCCTGATGGAAGAAATAAGGACTCAAATGAGGGATCATCTTGTCTTCAAAGGAAGGGAAATAAAACGAAGTATGTATGTTAACATCCGGAAGGTGTCCGAGTCATTGGGAGAGCAGGTTGATTTGCTCTAAGCACTTGTGCTATTGACTGGGCATTGATGACAAAAAAAATCAGCAAGCAGTATAACGTTTTTAAGTGTTATTGATGATTCAATACTCCAAAATATTTCTCCGTCAATCACAAAACTAATTTAACTGTCAGCCGCACAGGGCCAGATGTCAAAAACATGTGTTAAAAAGCCCTAATATGCCACGATCTACTTGATTAACAGCTAACTTGTAGAAATTCCAACAATGTGTTCTTGTTTTAGTCTTATTTGCATTGGCAAGTGTTCCTGGTGCACTCCTCTGGCTCTGCACGGTCTAATCTATTTGCGCTTTATCACTGGGTGGAACTGAACTGCAGTGGCCTCCGGGCCTGCTATCTGCTTTTCTCCGCTGCTTATCTACCATGTGGCCACAGCAAGGCTTGGGAGACCACTTTACAAACACCAGGGGTTCTGTCTGCTGAGCTTCTGTGTGTCAATCCTCGGACTAAGTCATACTCAATCTTAACTTGCTAAGTGGCATTATTTTTTTCACGCTCCGAATGTTTGAGTAAGTTCCTAGAAATGAAAAGGAGTCACACACTCCCTGGGATGTAATAATCCAGGCGGAATGGTGAATAATGCCTACCGGGTTCTATTCAATGGCCAAAAGACAGCGAATAATTCAATGTCCTTATGACTCTATAATTTTTAATTAATCCTTTTATTTTTTGCACTGTGTCGCGTTCCAGAGGATCTATTCAATTCTGTGTGTATAAAATTAGAACTCATGAGGGAAAGGCCATTAAGGACATGTTAGGATCCTAAGGCCACTCAGCTCACAAGTGATGAAATAGGACTTAATCTCAACCATTCTGATATTTGTGCTTTTGATGTCAAAAGTCCTATTTCATCACCTGTGAGCTGAGTGGCCTGAGGATCCTAACATGGGGTAGGCAATAAAATCCCAACCATGGGCCAGCTGAGAATCTAAGGGACTTCCTGGAGTGCTGGCTCAGGAGTTAGCTTGTGCCACGGTTGATTAATGATATCTGCCCAGGGCTCAGAAATGGCCAATGATGCTGCACATGCACCAAATTCTTAATTTCTGGGTCAAGTCATTTTCCCTCACTGAGCCCTCTGCCCATCTTACAATGGAAGAACATAGATTTAGTGTTTCTCAAAGTGTGGTTACTGACCATGTGCATCAGAATCACTGTGTGTGCTTGTTAAAAATCACCAGTTCCCGGCCCCACAGCTGAGCAATTAAATCAGAATCGCCAGGAAATGGAACCCTGGAAACTATTATTTTAAGAAGCTCCTAATTGGTAAGATTATTTGGATGCACACCGAAGTTTGACACCCATTGGAATAAATACTTAAATCTACTATTCTTTGCCCCATTATAGGGGACCTTACCATTTCCTATTCAGTGTTTTTGTCTGTGCTTTTCAAATATGCTAGCATTGTGGTTGTGGCACCATTTGAAAATTCCCTTCAAATAAATCTCTCTGTTTGCTTTTATTCTTCATTACTGTGAAAGGCAAAAGAGTCAATGCAAATAGGGTTTGCAAGCTAACAGCTCACAGGTCAAAGCTAGCCCACAGAGTTATTTGGTTTGGCTTGAGCATTGTAATTTTTAAAAATTTGAACGTGAATGCTATGAGACAGGTCAAGGACTCTCCAGCTCACCACAGTTACCAACAGTCCCTACTGTATCACACCAAACCCACTTCCCTCATTTTTGTTCCCTGCCAGGCCCTCTGAGACATCTGAGCTCTCAACTCCTCATCTATGGTGCAATTCAGCTTTCATGTGCCTGAGACTGAGGCCCAGCAAACTGAACAATTACGGTTCAAGCAGTTCCCCAAAGGGACCGGAACTTAGTGATCAGCTCATTTAGACGTGCATTTTGAAAATACAGTACTAGGAGACACAGAAGAAGGTAGCCCCTCTTGGTGCTATTATCAGGTAGTGGAGGCAGTTTGAGGGGCCAGACTCCCACAGACCTCAGCTTCCTTCCCAGTCATCCCCTCGGCCTCAAAGGAAGTGCTTAAGGAAGGGAGTAGTTTCAGATTTGGGAATTCTTTGGGATTTAAACTAGAATAAATCAAATCTTAATAGGGCTGGGGGGAAAAAATGATAAAATCCTGCCAAGAATTCATGACATGGAAAATTATATGGAATATGTTTACTTCTGTAAATTTGGAGAAAGAAAACAAGTAGACTGACATCCTATCGCTCAAAAACTGCAAAAGGGAGACATAATCACTAATAGTTTTGAACCAGCATTCCCTCATTCAGATTTTACAAACAAAACTACTACAGAGAGCTTTGGCAATACAATCTCAAAGCTAGAAATAGAAGAATATCTTTCCCTGAAAAACCATTATATTTACTCTTCTTAAAAGTCTTCAGATAAAAATCTTCTATCTTATAACTTAACCTAAAGTTATTATCTTATCATTTTAATAAGGAACATGAAAACTATCTAGCCATAGAATCTAACTATGTTTTTTAGCCCCTGTATTTCTAACATAGATCAGTGGCTCTCAGACTAATGAACATAAAGATGACCTGAGTGCTGGCTAAAGTGCAGACTCCCAGGCCCTACTCGAGGTTCCGATTCAGTCGGCATAGGTGGTGCCTAATAACTTAGATTTTCAACATGCACCTCCTGGTAATTCTGAAGTAGAAGTCAAAGAAGACTTCTTTAAGATACACTGGTTTACAGAACCTGGGGCCATTTAATCAAATTTCCCCATCCCACAAATGGGAAATTTGAGGACCTGGGAGAGAGAGTTACTTGACCTCTGCAATCCCATGTATTTACTTATTAATTTATTGTCTGTCTCTCCTTCACCCTCATTAGAATCTAACCTCCAGGACAGCCAGGATTTTCGCCCATATTCTCTGCAGCAACTCCACTGCCCACAGCAATGCCTGTCATCTGGCGGGACCTCACTCAATCCCACGCCGCTGAGCACTCCCCCGTGCACATAGTATTATACTAGGCAGGGGGAAGGCGAGCTCACCACACATAAATAACACCCCAATATGGGTGCACTTCTTGGGCTTGGAGTCTAGCAGAGAAGACCGATTAATCACACAGACATAGATAAAAGCACAATTAAGATTGTGGCATGAGCTCTGGGAAGTTCACGCTATTCATGAGAACACAGTGAAGGGTTTTACCAAGGAGGCTTCCCTGAGAAAGTAAGTAGTAAAATAGTACCAACAACAGCTGTAATGTATTATCCCTATCGTTCTAAACAAGAACGGAGAAAGAAACTGAGGAAGTGAAAGGTGAAGTAACTTGTCCAAAGTATAAATGGCAGACCTAGGATTTGAAGCCAGGCAGTCTGACTCCAATGTCCACATTCTTAACTACTATGTGATATAGCTCCTCGGGAAACTGAGCTTTCAGAAGAAAAGGAATCGAGTCTGCAGAGACTAAAGAACATGCTAGGATCAGTGACGGCCTGTGCAAAGGGTCTGAGGCAGGAGGGAGCATGGTACACTTGAAAATCGAGAAGGCCAGTATAGCTAACACGCAGGAAAAAAGGGAGGAGAGATAGGGGGTGAGGCTGGAAAGGGCGGAAAGGAGGAAGAGATAAAAGAATGAAGGAAGTGGGGGATAATAATAGGGAGAAAGGGAAAGGGAAAGGAAGAGAAAGGAGTAAGACAGACAGTTAAGAGCCAGATCAGACGGAGGGATGGACCCTATGGACCAGGTGAAGGGTTTTACTTTTTATCATCCAAGAACAAGGACAAGCAGGGCCAAAGGTGAGGTGCTCAGGTTTGCATTTCCAAAAGACACCCTTGGCTTCAGTGAGCCAAGTCTACTGACGAGGGCTAGCATGGGAGTGGGTGGCCCAGCAGGGCCTGGGGGCAGTGTGAGTGCGTGGAGAAAAGAGGGTACATTTAAATGCATTTGCAACATCTCCTCCCAACCACATTTCCCTGAATCCTGATACCCACGGTTTAGTCCAAGCTCACCTTCTCTGACAAGGCCTCCTCGAGTGTCGCCAGGGCAGTGTCGGTGTTACTGGAATCTGTCTGCAAGGACTTCACTCTGTCCTTCAGATTGGTCAGTTGCTTGTCTTTATCCCTAAGTTGTTCTTGCAAGTTTTCAATCTGAAAATAAAGATCACCATGTTTAATGCATGTGTTATTACACATCCAGGGCCAAGAATCCTGAAGTGAACTTGTTTAAAAAAAAATAGATTTGAGATCACGGAAATTGACCGCATTATGAGGTTACACTCTGACTTAGAATGAATGCTGTTAGGATGAGGCCTACCTTCTCCTGCATAATTCAAGCTTGCATTTAAAGTGTGATAACGATGAGCAGAATACCAGCCTCCATACAAATGCAAGCCCTCCAGACATGTAAGCACTATTATTTCTATCTGTTTCTACCCGCTCCACCAGCCCTTTAACTCTCCCATCCAGAGACCTCACCGTGGTGCAGAGAATCAGAGAAACACACATACAGGATTTATTCACTCAGTGAACAGAACGGGTACCCAGTCTGCACCAAGCAGCGTATCAGTGTATAGCAGAACCCATGTAGTCATTCACTCACTCCTGTATTCAGTATTAAACCTTGTGATATGCCAAATGTTGTCAAGTGGCTGTTTCAAAGAAACCACATGAAAAGCCAAGTAGGTTATCACCAGTAGACTGTTAATGGGAAGAACTTGTGATATAAATCAAATGTAACAAGTACTAAACACTCCATTTGGCAACTAAGTCATGTGCTGGCAACCTACCAGGCACTTTCATCCACTATCTGCAGCCTGAAGTAAACACACCGAATAGCCGACTATAACGCCTGCCCGGGAGCGGCAGCCAGGACCTTGCAGCGGGTATTGGGAACATTATCATTCATGTTTTTATTCTCTGCTTTCAAACCACGTATTTCTTATCTAAGGATTAAAAAAAAAAGCTGCACTGTACAAACAATTTATTCGTATTAAGGGTTTTAAAATGACAAGGAAAAATAGCAGTACAACTGTAAGATAAGTCCATTCAAAATATTTGTATTCTGCACCCAGGCTTTCTCGGGAAATCATTCCAAAGGCATGTTTCACAATGTGTGACTCAAACAAATTTTTGGATTACTTGATCCATTTAGCACGAATCTGGAATGGCACTACACATAATGACCGTCGTAGCAGCAATAAGGAGGCGGAGAGGGTGACAGCAGAGATGGCAGCAGTAGCAGCGTCAAAATAGTGCTGAGAACAAAGACAGTGATGCTGCTGACCTCAACCTGCAGGGTGAGACCTGGCGAACTTTTCCAATGGTTACAAGGGTAGTGGGCGAGCAGAGATGGACTTTGTCTCCTTCCATTCTCCCTTCCTTCCTTCCTACCTTCCTTTCTCCCTTCTTTCCAACTTTTCTTCTTTTTTTTCCAGTTGCCAATGTATCTTTAGTCAGACATGCTTTCTGCCTTGAGATACATATCCTGGAAACTCAGGTTATAGATCAAACAATTAAGCTTCTCCTTCATCAGAATGCAATGTGTTCCTACCCAGCCACCACTGTGAGAATTCACTGTCCCTCCATGGAAAACAGGAAAAAGGCATAATCATCTGCAGTCAGAACAGAGGCTTCCTCCATTCCAGACAAGTGCTCAAAGTTATACATCATAAGCAAATGTCTGCGTGAGCAAGAATATGGACGGTTACATGTCAAACTGATGGTTGTTATGTAGAAGAAGCCAGCAACCGAGAGGCCTGACTCTTCACACAGTGCATGTTATTGTTTGGAGTACACCCCCCCACACACACACACACACACAGATACATTTGTGTAAATATGCATGTGCAAACCCATGGTGGTTCTGAGCAAACCGATTAGACACACCTTGTCCAACCTGGAAGACAGTGCCCCGGACAGGGGGGAGAGGACCTTTTCTCAGAACATCAGCCCTGGGACAGTGGTAGGCACAGATTGCAAGGGGCTTTGAGCACTGGAAATACAGGCTAATCGACTCTAGCTGTGAGCCTCTGTGGGAACCCTGGGGCTTCCCCTATGTTACCAGAAAAACAAAGGAGGTTGAGGGTTAGAGGTCCTACCAGTATGCAGGTGGGAGGTAAGAGTTGAAGAAATGTGGGCTGGTGAGACCTGGGACATACAACTGACATATCTATTTATCTCACACTTAAGAACCCACAGAAGAGCTGATGTTATTGCAGGCCAGACTGAGCAACAGATGCGGAATTTGTAGAGCAAGGGATGCACCACTATAAGCAATGATGCACAAAGACTCTAAGAATGATCTTAATAGAGAAGCACACAGTGCAGAACAGTATGGAAAATACCGTCTCTATGTAAAAAAATAATAATAAATTTTTAAGTACACACAGTTATGTAGCTACAGGAATTAAGACATTTTCTGGGGGGAAAAAACACAAGAAATATTACAGTGCTTAACTTTGGGGAAAAGGATCTAGGGTACAGAGGTAGAAGGAAGCTTCTGTTTCTCATTGTTGTGCACCTCTGTGGTTTTCGGCCTGAATTTTCTAACCATGTGGGTTTTATTAATTTTTGATGCCAACTGAGATTATCTGACTGGTGAGATTATGGGTTATCTTTAGTTAATATTTGTATATAAAAATAACATTATATACAAAAGTAAATAATAAATAATTATATAAATAACAAACGCCTACTTAAAATTAAATTGTCCAAGTTACTAACAATTACAGATAGTTGATACATTTAAGACATGCAAATATTTAAAATCACCTTTGCGTACAAATGCCACTAAATGGAAATAGTAGAATGCATAGGGGGAGGGGGGAAGCAGAATGTAAAATAACATGTTTGTTAAAAAATAAAGTTTTTACATAGAAAAAAAATACCTATATAAAAGAAACTCACTAAAATGCTATTTTCTGATAATGGTGTGACTAATGAAATCACTGTTCTTCTTTATACTTTCCTACATCTGCCCTGAACATAGTGAACAGGAGGCTGGGAAGCCAGGGTGAGGGAAACAAGCCCAGAACGATGCCTAACGTTTTGATGCAAATGCTAATGTACACACTGTTGCCTCAGCTGCTGAATACCAGACACTGAGCACAAACCCAGCTGTCACTGACCACTGGACACCACCACGAGCCTTGCAGTCATGCAGCCCCTGGCCCAGACCTTGCAATCGCTGCAGCAGAGCGTCCCTCACACACCCAACCTCCCAGCGACTCTGGGGCAGATACACCTAAGGGACAGAACGAAGGTAAGGCACAGAGCCCACCTGCAAAGGAATCTGAGAAGCCACGTGTTGCCATTTTCAAGTCCAGCATGAGAGCCCCTTCATAAGCTCAGGGGAAAATGAGAGCATGGAGAGCCAAAAAAGACCCATATGCACAACAGCAGGGGAGCGCCCTGGTGTTAGCTCCTGAACCTGCAAACTATACCACCCTGGAGGAATTACCATATTTTTCCATGTATAAGACAACCCCCACTTTTCCAACCCAAAATTAAGAAATCAATATTTTAAACATTTTGCTGGTTTTCCTCTTAAGGCTTTCTTCTCCTTTGGCATCTTGGGGGTTGTTCTTCCTGTTTTCTCCACTGTCTGATCACACACTCAGTGGGAGGAGGTCCAAACTGTCTCTCTGCTGCTCTGTTTCCATGTTCTTTTGCATAGCTGATTACATTCAGTTTGAATTTGCAGAGTAAGACAATCGCTTACTGGTATTTATCTTTTAATTTTTGACATCTTTATGGGCTCAGAATGCTCCAGTCCCTGTTGCATCTGCGCACTCTCCACCTCCACCTCCAATTACGGCATTAGCTGATGTCAGTAACAATAAGGCTCGTGACTGGAGGAAGCCTGTTTGACAAGGTATGGGCAGCTACACACCCATGAGGCTCCCTCCTTGGCTGACTTCCATGTATAAGACGCCCCTCGATTTTCAGTCTAATGATTTTAGAAAAAATAGCATTTTATACACAGAAAAATATAGTATTCTGAACTATCTCTCTATGAAGCTCTCACAGGGCTATACATTTAAGCCAGGGGTCCTCAAACTACAGCCCGGCCCACGGGCCACATGCAAATACAAATATTGTATTTGTTCCCGTTTTGTTTTTTTACTTCAAAATAAGATATGTGCAGTGTGTATAGGAATTTGTTCATAGTTGTTGTTTTTTTAAACTATTGTCCGGCACTCCAACGGTCTGAGGGACAGTGAACTGGCCCCATGTTTAAAAAGTTTGAGGATCCCTGATCTAAGCTTTGATTCAGACATTTGGCCAATGGTTCATGCGACCCTTTGTTACCAGACTGTGATAAGAAAACTACTACAGACACAGAGAGTGTCTGAATATCACTCCAATATTCAAGATCATGGGGGATGGACTTCTCACCCTGAGCAGTAGAGTATATAGACCAGTTGAGATGTTTTTGAACTCATGTGTAACATGTGGCCAGAACCACACAGTGATCATAACACAGTAGGACCACATATTGTTAAATGACAGATTGGAAATTTTTTAAAAAAATAGGTTGCTTGGTAAGCACAAATATATAGGCCTACTAATCTCTCAATACTTCTGAAATACATTCCTATTCCCTTTTTTAAAAAATTGTGGTAAAAGACAAATAACAAAATTCACCATTTTAACCATTTTTAACATACAGTTCAGTAATATTAAATACCTTCATGTTGCGTAGCCATCACCACATCCATCTCTCCGAGTCTGCATTTGGTTCTACACCGTTGTATCTCAGGTGTAGAACCAGCAAAGTCAAGGGACAGAACAATCCCACCACCACACAGATGCCCTGTGCTGCCCTTTTTTAACTGCATCCGCTCATCTCCTGCCTCTGCCCCATCGCTAACCCCTGGCAACTATGACTCTGTTCTCCATTTCTATAATGTTGTTATCCCACAAATGTTACATAAATGCTGTGCAGTCATACAGTATATGACCTGTGGGACGGCTTTTTTTTTTCACTCAGCATGATTCTCTGGAGATCCATCCAAGTTGTTATATTTATGAATAGTTTGGTCCTCTTCATTGCTAAGTAATATTCCATGATATGGATATACCAGGTTATTGAACAATTCACCTGTTAAAGTATACTGTTGTTTCAAGTTGGTGCTATTACAAATCAA